TTTTTATTTAATTACCATCCCCTGGTGTGTGTCCCCCCCTTGAAAAAATTCCTGGCTCCAGGGCTCCAGTCCACTGTTAAAAGTTCTGGCCCAGAGAGTTCTACTGGTTCCTGAAGTTATGTATTAATAATTTCCTCAGGGACCCAAATATTATATTTGATTCATTCTTAAATTTGCTTGTTATCTGTTATAGTATGGTGGTAAAAGAGGTGGGTACTCCTACTTCAGATTTAACTGAATGTGACAAATTTTGCATATTGTTAACTCACACCACAGCCAATGGGAGAACTGGAAAGTGTCAATACACTAGGGCTTTATATATATATAATATATATATATATATATATATATATGGATGTTTTTAATTCTTCTTGTCTTTGTCTTTTAAAATGTACAGGAGAGAAAGTTGCAAATTAATTTGATGTGTAAGTTCTTTGTTTGATCTATATCTGAATAACAATAGACAAGAGTGCTTTTAGTGCTTCCATCTGGATTAGCAGTTCTACATTATTTCTGTATGATCTGTTTTTCAACAGATGGAGAATAGCACAAGGAAGAGTAATGAAGCACCTCTGAATGCGAAAGAACTGGAATAATTACAGTGCAGTATCACTCAAACACCTATTCCTTAAAGCGTGACAGGTGATCTCATTGATAGGTGTGAAACCACTCACTTCTCCATGCTCAGTCTAATAAAACGATGCATGCAAGGTTCCCCCCCCCCCTTGCTATGTAAATATGGTCTACCTTTTTTGTCACTTTCCCCATCAACAGACAATGAAGTACAATTTTCAGTGCTGAAGGGTTTTTTTATTTGGGATGCTTTTGCTGTGGAAAGATGAAAAGTCCCCCCCCCCTTTAAAAATGTGTGCTTCATTTGCATAACATATGCATATGTGTCTAGGTATATGTCCATCCTATCTATCTAGCATCCTTTCCAGCTATAAATAGACACCTGGCCTACTGACAAACTTGTCAAAGGAAAACAGAAATAATCAGCTATGATGTGGCTGTATGTCTTCTATAACATAATTCCTAGTCCACAGATACAGATCTTGTTTTTAAAGCACAACTGGATATCCCAGAAGTCTTGGGATAAATGTTTGATCTAGATCCTGTTTTGTTTGGGATTGTGTTACATTAGTTTTGTCAGGGTGTTTGATGGTGTCATCCAGGAACTATGCTTACAATGCACCCAAAATGACAACCATGAAACAGCGCTTGAATAAATCATTGTAATTGTTGATAACCAGGGGCTATCCTGATATAAAAGAGGTAGTTATCAGCTTACAAGTTCAGTCCAAAAAAGTGTGCTCCATTAAAACATATTAAAAGAAGCACTACTTTGAATTCTGCACCACTATTGGTCTCCTAGGATATGATCAGGTTGTATGATTAATTTTTTTAGTTTTTTCTTTGGCTTTTAAAATCATAAGGGCATTAATAGTCTTGTTTCCTTTTGTTATCCAGTGGTGTTTTGAAATAACATTTGAACATTCATGTTCTGTAGATACAGTATGAGCTGGTTGCTTGGATATCCTCAGAGACCAAGGTTCTAGTGTTCTTGGGGTCTGCAGAGGAGAGAGATCCTTAACACTTGTGGTTTCACAGTAGTTTCTGTTTTATAGACATTACAGATAACATTTGTGGGTTTTATAGTATGCCATTTTTAATGCCTTATTCCTTTTCATTGATGTGCCTGTTTTTACTCAGTGGCACTGTTGGCTAAGATTTTATTTTCTTTCTCTCCTGATTTCTTTTTTTAAAAGATAATTGTTCTCTGAACTCTTGTCATAATACCGGATTTCACTTTCTTCTTATTCAGTCCTGGACCTGAATACCTGAGGGTATCATAGTGGTGCTGTAAGCAGAAAAGCAATAATAATATATAATTGGATAGTCCATTTCTGTTCCATTACTAAATCTTGTTGCATTATATTATGTGCTGATTGCAGTGGGATTTTATTGAGACAATGGATGTAGGTGAGATTAGACTACAGGCTTTTGTAGTTTTTCCTCTTCTGCCTTGTCATGTTAAGAATACTCTTTTTCACAAAACCATGATAATTTTTGAGACAAAAAGATCTGCTTTGCCTAATGAATTCCTTTTTTTTTAAGCTTCTCTGTTCATACAAATGAACAGCTTACAGATTTACTTATGTACTTTGTAGGTTTGAGATGGTAGCTTTTCTTTCTTTTTTTAAAAAAAGGCAATTTGAGATGTTTCAGCTACGTACTGCGAATGTCTGTATTGCTAAATATGCCCCCCCATAAATGGTATTTTTGTGGTGGAAAGTGCTGTCAAGTGACACCTGACTTATGGTGACCCCATGGGGTTTTCAAGGCGAGAGATGTTCAGAGGTGGTTTGTCACTGCCTGCCTCCATGTGATGACCCTGCTGTTCCTTGAAGTTCTCTCATCCACATACTAGCCACGGCTGACCCTGCTCTGAGATCTGATGAAATCGGACTAGCCCAGGCTTGCCAGGTCAGGGCAAATAGTATTTCTAGTTCATGAAAATAGAGACCACAGTTGCTTGCCATTGAATTGAGTGGTAATAAGGGTCATAGCTGAGCAACAGTTGCACAATATATTTTAACTGGGAGGGGTGTCAGTCTATAAAAGTTCACTGGTGATGTTTCTTCTGTAAGTAGTTAGCATTTCATTTAGCAGCAATAGTATACTTTGTGTTCACAATACAAGATGGGAGAGAGATGGAGAGGCCCTATCTACCTACCTGCCGGTGACTGCCTTGGCTTGGCAGTTGGCTCCTCCTTCCTCTCAGAACTGTTTCCTGCAGGAACCATTCTGTCTGGTCATTATGGAACAGTTATATATATTACTGCCTGAATTCGCTTGTTTTCCTCTTCCCTTTGTGTTGTGTATATTATATTGTATACCGTCTTCAGTGCAATGACAGGTAGTATATAAATATATAAAATAAACGTATGAAGAAGGAAATAAAAATGTAATTCTGCATGCAATACCCTTGACTTTTGTTGCTGATTAATACTTTCATACTGTACGGTCAGGATGAAGGTGTCCATTCATACAAAGGTGTCCACTTAGGGTTGCTGAATGCATGATATTTTTCTACCAAGATTTATATGTACAAAAGGAAATCATAGACTGAGAATGGGTTGATGAAGGGGTAGGTCCTCCATCATAGCATCAGGGTTGATTTTCATGAGCTCCCATTATTCATAAGCTAAAAGAAATGCTTGCTGCCTGGAATGCAGTTCCAAGAAGGACTGCCCCTTGGCCTTGACACTGTGGTCATCAGTAAAACTCTGATTGGGGTTGCCTACATTAGATGAGGGCTATTTTAATCCTGTGGAGTTTTTGTATTTAATTGAATTTATAAGGAACTAGGAGTAAGGCCCGTATTGGGAAGAAATACAACGGTCTCTAGAAGGAAGCTCCAGGTGGCTGTCCCGGCTGTGGCTGGTGAGGTGGCAGAGGGAAGGGGAGAATAGAGTGAGGCAAGCCATTTTTATTTCCTTCTGCTTAGCTATAAGGCAGGGCTGTCTCAAGTCACTTTGCTGCCCCAAGTGGGTAGTATGGGAGGACAGCCTCATGGTAACAGGAATGGTTCCCTCCGCCCCTGACTTATGTTAATTTGCCACATGACAGAGTTAGCTTCTGTCTCTGGTCCCAGCTCCTGCCAACCTAGCAGTCTGAAAGAAAGAAACTGCAAGTAGATAAATAGGTACCACTTCAGTGGGAAGGTAACAGTGTTCCATACACCTTGGCGTCTAGTCATGCCGGCCACATGACCACAGAAATGTCTTTGGACAGCACTGGCTCTTCGGCTTGGAAATGGAGATGAGCACCGCATCCCTAGAGTCGGATTCGACTGGCTTTCAAGTAAGGGAAACCATTACCTAGTTGCAGCTAAGGTAGAAAAGCACCTCCTCCTATGCCATATCTTCTGGGTTCCAAGAGTCTGGAAAACAGTTCCATAGCCAGTTACACAGTTGCCAACTCTGGGTTGGGATATACCTGTAAATTTGAGGGGTAGAGCCTGGGGAGGGGAGGGTTTGGGGTGGGGAGGGACCTCAGCAGGGTATAATGCCATAGAGTCCCCTGGCCAAAACAGCCATTGTCTCCAGGAGGACTGATCTTGGTCATCTGGGCATCAGTTGTAATAGCTGGGAAATTTTCTGTAGGGGAAATGATGTGCTGTGGTTGGGGAGATCTCCAGGCCCCACAGGGAGATTGGGATATGTATTTTACCTCAGGACTCCCAACAGCAACAGCAGACTATTTAGAACGTTAGAGGCAAAGGGCAATCAGGCCACATATGCAAATGACCTCTGTGTTCTGACTGGCTATGTGGGGGGAGAGGAACAGCAAACTTTTTAGAATGTTGGAGGCAGGACTCAGGCAACGCAGCCAGTGGATAGGGAGACCCTCTGAATGACAGATCATTCAGCCAACTGATTTCAGAGCATGTTGGAATGTTCAGGGGAGTCCATGACCAAAACAGAATTATATATAAGGAGAGATGTGCAGGAAAGACAATTGGAGCTTCAATAGTAAGCTGGGAATCAAAATACCTGGTTTCCTATATAGCTGCAAATTTTCTTTAATTCCAGAGGTGCCAATCATGCAGATTAGGATACTACTAATAAAACCTTTTGCTTCTAAAAATGTGTGATCTAACAAAAAATAAGCATTTTTAAAACAACATTGAATTCAGTAGGTGCATTGAACACCTTCTAAATCTCTCTCATTCAAGTCAATATTTCCTTCAGTCTACTTCCCTTTGGTGAGATCATGCCCTAGGCTTTTCAATTACTTGTTTATAGGAAAGGTTGTACTGAATACCAGAATACCAGAATTTTATTGTGTATATAGCCAAAGGGCATCACAATACAGAATTAGGATAAGGTTGTACTGAAAAGTAATAATAATCCATTGTTCCCTCTCCCTTTCTCCACTTTATACTCCTCTTATTTTTGTGTCCATATTTGTGAGCTTTTCCTTCTCTCTTGCAGGAGGAGACATCTTTCAAAGCTATAAATCACTTTCAACATCAGGACAGCTTACAGAGGCTGCAAGGTAATTATTTATATAATTGCTTTTTGTTTTCTCTAGAGGTCACTCTAGGTTTACTTCAGTGTTCTCTACAGACACGATTTATGGAGGCACCCGTTCTGAGCAATTAAACTCAGTAATGGTTACATTTGGCTTTTAGTGAAGCTATCTTACAACTTGGTATGCTATGTTACCTTACAAAAAACAAAACCCTGCTGCACCCTAAAACTGGTGTTTGCCTTAGGATATGTGTGATATTTTAGAAAATATGCTCAGTCATTTAGACAACAGAAAAGAGTGATACAAGCAGATCCTGTTTCATCTGTGCAACCTCCACCCCCTTCTGAAATCTACATCACCACATCAGTCTTGTCTTTTGGCTGCAGTACATAGAGACGGGGACTATATGCACAGGTACACTCATGAGCTCACAGACACACTATCCCTGTCCGTTTGGAAAGTCTGGAGTGTTCATTATAAGTAGTGTAGCTCAGGAAGAGTGCTGGCTTTGAAGAGGACAAAAAAGGACTTTACTGTGGGGCAATTCTGCTCTGCATGGTAGTTGAACTCCCTGGCTTCTGCACTGGAAATGTCTTCCTACTTTCACAAAACAGCCAGAATCTTAAGACTGTGCAACTGGTTACAAAGATCTAAGAGCAGTACCTCGATTATTTTATCTGTACCTCCAGCCCCAATGCCATATGGCTTTTGCAAATAAAAGACAGAGGGGTGAAGTATGCTGTTCAGCAAAGCTTAGAATGGTTCTTTGGAACCTGGAAGAGGGCAGAGGGGGAAATGATTACTGGAATATTAGGTGAGAAAAATTCTCCCTTACCATTCAGGATTATTTAATTTAGCTAATTCCATCACACCCCAATAAATAACGATAACTCAAAAGAATCTGGCTGACTGATTTTTGAGTCTGGAAATGTTTTTAGCCTTGTTATCATTCTTCATGTTTTTCCTTTGCCTGGAGGAAAATTGAGAAAGGTCTTGCCCTCTGTATTAGACTTCAGAGGAGAGCATGGCCTGTGCATTTCCATGTAGTTTCCTTTCAAGCTCAAATAAAGCCCTCCATTTGCTAATTGAAAAATGAAATTAACACGTGGTTTGTTATCAGAAACTGCAAAGCATTATTGATGAAAAGAGCTTTTTGTCTCCCCCGAGGAGCTCAGCATTACACCAGGGGAGGGGGGAGTCCAGTGCTTGTTTTTTGTTAGCATGCTGGGCAGTGTTTCAGTAAAATATTGGGTTCTGGTTTGGGTCTGGGTGATCCTAATGAAGTAGAACTGCAGAGAAAATTCCTTGTATTCCAGCCCTTAGGGAAAAAAATGCTACCCTGCAGAAGGAAGAGAAAAGCAGGACAGGGAAGAAGTTGTCATGCATTTGAAAGCTGCTTTTTCAGGTTGGAAAGGAGAGGTACCACTTGGGCCCAGGTTTACAAGGGGGTTTCTGGTTTACTGTTCAGGACAGAAGACTTAAAAGGTGAAAGTACCAGATGATTCTCTACAGAATGGAAATAGCATGTTTATCAGACTTTTAAGATCAAAAACATTTCTATGAAGAACTAAATAGACATCTTCTCTTAGGATGGTGATCAAGATCTAATGAAGAAGAGCCAAGGCTCCAGCAGTAATGCATCGGTGTCAGACTGAAAATGAAGCTTAGAAGATTACCTTCGTGCCTGCCCTACAGGTGATTCTGGAGCATCACACAGGCTGTCACCGTGTTCTTCATGGAGAAGTGGTAAGATAATAGAGGCAGGCTGGTTGATGACTGTGGACTGGTCAGCATCCGCTGCCCAGCAAATTTTGTAAATATCATGACTTACAAAGTCCTACCTCTGAGCTGGAGACAGGGAATCAGCCAGAATGACAGAGCAGTGTACAATGAGGTGGGGTGGGGTTCTGGTGGACTGGTCATGTTCAGCATCTATGGCAATCTGGAGCTTGGAAGAGGCAGGGGCCGCCTTCTCTCATTTGCGTACATGAATTTGACTGTTGAACCCAGCTCTGTGTGAGTGAGGTGAGAATATAAATAAATATGGTAGAGCAAGATTAGGGTAGGGGCTATTTGAAAGCAATTGTTTTCTGGGAGGAAATTAATGTTTGGGCCTTTCTTTACCAAACCTGCAATCTTGAAGGTCATTCATCATTAGCCTCAGTAATGTGCCTTCTGTAAAATGTGTTGGAGTCTGTTTCCAGACTGCAAAGCAGAGATACTTCTGCTGGCAGCCCCAGTGTGTTAGTATGCCATGGAAAGCCAGTCGTATTGGACTGGGGGATTTCTAGAGTAGCTGTTTGGGTGGCACATGAGAGTGTAGCAGGGGAAAGCAGTGACTTCCGCAGCATGAGCAGAAATGTTTTCTAGATGCTTGGAGGGCTTTGGGTTTAAGCCCAAGTCTTGTTTTATGGTGCAGCTGACAGATCTCAGCTTCTTGACTGTACTAGATTGAAATACAGCATGGGTAGGGCTGCTTTCTGCAGAAACGCAAGCCATAATAAACTTGTAAATCTTTCAAAGTGTCACACTCGTCTATTTTTTTTCAGAATGAGATTCCAAATGAGGCCATGGTTCCTGTTTCTGTTATTTGGGTTTAAAATGCTCGGTCCCATTTTTGGTTACTATTTCTGAATATCCTTTGAACATGCCATTGCAATCAATCCTGACGTGCCTGTGGGAAAACTACCAGTCTAGTTTCCTTAACAATGTTCCCTCTAAGGTGTGCAGTCCTGTGAGCAGAAATTTTACCCTGTGAGTGAAAAATGGTGCTAGCTTTAAAATTGTGAGCAGGCCAACATTTATTTTTTTAAAAAATCACTTACAGAAACTATTCAAATATAGTCTCGCTTCCCTTAATTACCAGAGAGAGACAGAGGTGGAAAGTAAGCAAATAGATGGGGAGAGAGAAGAGGAAGGAAGGAAGGAAGGATGGAAGAAAGGGGACCCTCACAGGCCCTGACTGTAGGAGAAAGCAAGGCCAGGATCTTCTCTGCCGCTGGAGCATCAGGGCATAGGAGCTTCTGGGGCTCGCTTTCTCCTGCAGCCCAGTTTAAACCGGACTGCAGGAGAAAGCGAGCCACTCACTGATGCCGTTGGTGGCGGGAGGCCACAGAAGAGTGTCAGGGTCACGTTTCTAGCTCAAGGAGCCCCCCCCCCCACACACACCTTCATTCTTGCCTGGCTCCCCTCCCCGACCTCCATCCATCCTCCCCACTAACAGGCGGCCAGGTGCACTCCAAGCCCGGCTCTGCTACCTCCCTTTCCCGGACCTGCTGGATGCCTGGCCGCAGCAGCATCAGTGGGAAGGCGGTTCGGGCTTCGGCGGCGGCAGCAGCAGCAGGAGCTCCCAGGTTGCTCTACTCTGCTGGAAGGAGGGTTGCTGGGAGAGGCCAGCCTCTATAGTTAGTACAGGCAGGGGCTAAGTGGGAGGGAAGGCCACCCACTACCTCTGTGCTGAGAGAGGGAAATCAGTGCGCTGGGGGGAGAAAAAAAATAGCCTAGCGCACGTAACTCAGCTAACAGGGAACGCTGCTCCTCATTAGTTTGAAACTATTCCTATTATTTATTTATTTATTTATTCTATGAGAGGGTTACACACAGGAAGCCTATAATAATATAAAATACGTAACCAATAAAGTACGTGACCAATACAATATGTGTTGATACAAGGAATAGTGTGTTCAGAAGCAACCTTTAGAAATTCAATATTTGCTGCTGACCATCCTACAAAGGAAGATGGTGCTTCAGTGGAGGAAGTTGTTACACATTGATTTCCTTTTGATCTTGTGTTTTGGCAGATCTCGCCAAACAAATCCAAACAATCACTACCATGTTAGCAGATCTGCTTTAATAATGTCAGTCTCTCCAAACTTCTGTGGCCTGTTCAATTGAACTTGTATGTCTGTTGCTGTTTCTTGCCTGGTTCTTGATACACATTTTTGACCAATGGAAGACATTGTTTTGGACGGAACCAAAAATTCTTGAATGAGAGAGAGTACTATGACTAGCACTATTTGTATAGAATATTTCCTGCACTAGACAGCAATCTACTGGATAAATTCAGGTGGTACAAATCCAGGCTGCTTCCTCACAGGGATTTTCCCCAAAATTAAAAGGGAATAGCCACACGGTTTTGTGCCCATTCTGAGGATGAATTGTGGCAGTCCTGGGGTTTTCCCCTTCCATTCATAGAAGAAAAATAAACCTGTTTTGCTCTCGATTAAGTTTTGATTGGTTACCCATCTGTAGCCTTTCCTGGACAGAAAAGATCTGAGCACTGTGATGCATGCACTGGTTATGTCTAGATTAGACTACTGCTATGTGCACTATGTAGGGCTGCACTTGGAGAGTGTTTTGAACTTCAACTGGTGCAGAATGCTGCAACCAGGATGCTGACTGAAGTGGGTCATAGTAACCATATTGTTCTAGTCTTGGCTCATCTATACTGGTTCCCAGTCTGTTTCTGGACACAGTTCAAGACTTTGATGGACTGTATAGGACCTTTAAAGCCCTATATGGCCTGGGACCAATATACCTGAAGGACTGCCTGTGCTCTTATGAACCTACCCAACCACTGTAGTCATCTTCCGAGATCCTGTTTCAGGTATATGGCAACCCAAAAGTGGGTCTTCTCAGCTGTGGCATCGAAACTCTCTCCCCAGAGAAACTCATTGTCTCCTTCTGTTACCATCTTCTGACAGTGAGTGAAGACTTTTCTGTTTTGTTTGGCGTTCCCTCAGTGATTCCTCCTTCCTGGCCAATGTTTCAATTGTTGTTCTGATGTTTTTGTGTGTCTGTCTTAGCCCTGGTTTTAATGATGTGTTTTTGATGATTTTATTAGTTTTTAATCTGATTTTATAATGTATGTTTTTAATTTGTTAACTGCCTGGATGGCCCTTATGTCAGCTGAAAGACAGGATATAAATTTTGTAAAATATATAAATGAAAGTGAGAAGGAGGGTAGTTTCAGGGCTGCAGATGGTGAGATCCATTTTTGTGCAGGTGTCATAAGGGTAAAGGAGAAGAATTGAAGGGCAGCAGCAAATGGAGCAAGATCAAGGCAGGGGCTGTTCCTGCACGTTCCCATATTACTTGCTACTTCTGGGGTACATTTTCACACCCCTGTGTTGGAAGTAGTCCTGCTTAATGGCTGAGCTCTCTCACTTTCTCCCTCCTCTTTCTTTTCTCCTTGTGTGGTATACCGTGATCTTCAGCTAATTCCAATTTATTGTGACATCCAAATCTGGGTACGTCAGTGGCACCCCAAACGGCATAGCTGTGATGGGAGGGCGGCCTCTCCATAGATTAGCCAGTGATCTATCTGATGCCACTTGGTCTCGACACACACACACACACACACACACACACACACACACACACACTCCTCCTCCTCCGCTGTCTAGTTATGGTCCTTATCTTTTTTGTTGTTCCATGGTGGTACTTTTGCTGTTGGCTTGGCAGTTGGGTTGGCAGTAACTCTGCATGCACATTAAAAATAAAAACCATGGCATGAAAACAGATCTAGAGGGATTGAATCCACTTGTCCTAGAAGGAGTGATGGCTTTTTCAGAGCCAGTTAAGCACTTTGGCATCCTCATCCCTGCAATTTGAAAAGTAGGATGGCATGATGGCCAAGAGCTCCTTCTATCAGCTGCATCTGATTCACCAAGTCTCTCATTACATCAGCTCAGCTGATATGATCCATGCTTCCGTAACCTCATGGCTGGATTACTGCAACACACTCTACATGGGGCTGCCCTTCAAGACAGCCTGGAAACTACAGCTGGTCCAGAATACAGCAGCCCAACTACTGTCAGGGGCTAGCTGCCAAGAACATATTCTACATTGGCTGCCAGTCTGTTTCCAAGTTCAATTCAAGGTGCTGGTTATGACCTTTAAAGTTCTTCACAACCTGAGATCTTCATGACCCGGGGCCCACATATTTGATGGAACGTCCCTGTATGCCAACTATGGTCACTGAGCAGCCATCTGCTGACATCCCACTACTTGAGGTGGCCCACCTGACATTAGCCATAGCCCACACCTTTTCCATTGTGGCTCTGTCTCTGTGGAATGGGCCCCCTGAAGAGGTGAGGGGGCCTCCTTCCTGGAGATTTTCAGGAGGTGCTGCAAGGCTGCCTGTTTGACAGGGCTTTTGAGGGGGGTTGGATGGCAGGCATCTAGGGTTGCCAGACCCCCTGATTTGGCAGGGGTTCCCCACTTTTGGGGGGGTTCAACCTGCCACTGGCCGGCGGGGGAAACCCCACCCCCAAGCCCCAACATCCACAGCCACCCCTTTCCCTTCTCTCTTGAGAGAGAGGAGGGAAAGGAGTGGCTGCGGGCCGCGCACCTGATCTCCAAGTGGCATCTCCTCAGAGACTGGGCAGGTGGGACCCTCTGGCTGTGTGCACTTAAAGGGAACCCTTTAAGTGCAGGCAGCCAGTGGGAAAAGGGCCCCATGCTCAGATATCGGGCACGCGGGGCCCTCTGGCTGTGCCTCACAGCAGGTGGGACCATCCCCGTGGGGGCAGGGCTTTGAGCCGGGATGTCCCCAACGTGACATCATGTTGGGGATGCCCCGCCCCTCCGGGAACACCCCCCCCCCAAAGTCCCTTGCTGGGGACGATGGACCTGGCAACCCTAGAGGCAACTTTTAAGAGGAGAGGGGAGAGGGATTTGGGCCTTGCTGTTTTATCTCTGGTTTTAGCTGGTTTCAACTACTATTGTAAGCCACCTTGGACCAA